TCTTTGGCACAAAAATCAGAATTTTGGATCTGCAAGATACCTTAGCAATCACCCTCCTCTGACAAATGAGGAAACCAAAGCCAGAAGAGGTTAATTTACTCAAGGTCATTAATGCCTGTGCTCTCATCAGTAAAATTAGGATGCTACTCACAGACTTCATTTTGCTGTTACACTTATAAACACACACACTCCTCCCTCAGTAATAGTGACATGTGACCAACATAGTCTGAAATCTTGAATTTAACTGATAGCCAACACCACTTTTTCTCATTTAGCAAACACTTCTGATTTTGATAACCGGATGTAAGCTGATGAGAGCTTGCCTACTCTATGCTGCATAAAAAAATGTATGAATTTAGAAAGTCCAAAGACCTGAGGAACTACTGACCCTACCAAAAACTTGGAAAGTACCCTCTTAGAAATAAAATGCATTTCTAGCAGTGATATGTTTTGGTTCCTCTGAGCCCACAGACTGTACAGTCCTGAGAAACAATACAGCTGGACCCCTATCCAAACATTTGACTGACTGCAGGGCCCGCTGGTTGTAACTGGCCAGTTGTTTTGTTTATTATAATATTAAAGGCTGTACTTCTATTTTTAAAAAGTCCAGCAGTTCAGCTCTAACAGCAGACATGAATCGAGTTGTACAATTGAAGGTACGTGGCGAGGGGCTGCCGGGACACGTAGTTGGCCACACAAACACAACCGCTGTTGTTCCCCACTCAGGCCCTCGGGGGCCACCTGTTCCTCTTCATGTCTGTGTAAGCTGACTGGACGCTGAATGTTGCAGACATGTGACTGAGCGGAAACGGGGATCCTGGTACCCAAAACTGTCCTCACACCATGACAACACACTATGCAACAAGAGTCCACAAAGGCAAAGGGCCCGGAAGGCAATGCACTGATGCCACAGAGTCAGGAAAAGTGCTGTGTAGGAAAGAACTCTCACAATCCCACCAGATTCTTTTTTCTTTTAATTATTACTACTTACTTATGTGGTACCTTTTTAGAGTAGAATGACCAGTTTTCCGAATGGAATCTGTAGTGACTCATTTCCCCTCGCCCCACCCCCAAAGGCCCTCCTTGCAAAGAGCCACTGTAGGGGGATGGGGAGGGCAGATCTGCGGCCGGGGGGTGGGGGTGGGGGGCTCTCTGTAAACCTGGTCATTCTGCCCACAGGAGGTGTCTGCACCTGGATTGTGACAGCGCGCGAGGGATGCCGCCACAGAGTAACAATGCCATTCCTGGAGGCAGCACGTCCTATGGGATTCCAGGGTAATTTAATCAGCAGCACTTGCGTGCGGCAGAAGACAAGAGCAGCGAAATAATCAAGTCCACTCTCAGCTCCTGGTAGTTTTTCTGTTTAACCGAAGGGGGTAAAATGTGACCCGAGAGAAGGGCCTCTCTGCCTCGCCCGGCACTGCTGATGCGTGGAGCTGGATGACTGTGTCACGGGGGCAGTGGTGGGCTCCACCCACTACACATACCGCCTGCCCTCAGTTGTGATAAGAATGTCTCAGACGTTGCCAACTGTTCCCTGGGGGCAAAACTGCCCCCATTTGCTGCCCTAGATCAACTGGAAAAGCTAGTCAACAAGTGAGCCACTTGATTCTGAGTAATGCAGGGTTGAAAAAAACAAGAAAAGGGGTTTAAGGCCTCCTTCAGTGAGGAACGCTCTGTAAGAAAAAGACCAACAAAAGTAAAACTGGCCAAGGTCAAGAAGAGCAGTTTACCACATGTGAAAGATAAACACCCAATCAAAATATGGGAAGAAATTAAATATCAATTAGAACATAGAGATCCATTAGCAAAAAGAGTTAAAAAATGATACCAAGGGGTTCGTAGGTATATGACAAAAGACACTCCTCGCATACTTTATTTATTTTATTTATTTTTGGCTGTGTCAGGTCTTAGTTGTGGCACATGGGATCTTTTGTTGTGGTGCGCGGGCTCCTCTCTAGTGGTGGCGTGCGGGTTTTCACTTCTCTAGTTGTGGCACATGGGATCTTTCGTTGTGGTGGGCGGGCTTCTCTCTAGTAGTGGCGTGCAGGTTTTCTCTTCTCTAGTTGTGGCGCGCAGGCTCCAGGGCATGTGGGCTCTGTAGTTTGCGGCACGCAGGCTCTTTAGTTGAGGCTTGCGAGCTCAGTAGTTGTGGCGCGCGGGCTTAGTTGCCCCATGGCATGTGGGATCTTAGTTCCCTGACCAGGGATCAAGCCTGCGTCCCCTGCATTGTAAGGCGGATCCTTTACCACTGGACCACCGGGGAAGTCCCACTCCCCACATAGTTTAGGTGGGAGTATAAATTGGTGAAAATCATTCTCAAATAAACATACAAACGTGTATGTGAAAGCATATCATCAGTGCATTATTTGTAGCAGCCAAAAAAGAAAAAAAAAAACAGCAATAAGCTAAATGACCTCAGCAGGGATTAATAACATTACAGTATATCCATGAAACTGACACCAGGTGGTCACTAAAAATTATTAGATAGGCCTATATGTCACATAGAAGGATGTCCATCAGAGGATTGCTTTCAAGAAGAAAAAGTATTATCATATCTGCCTAGAAAGTCATGAGGGAAAGAGAAAAAAAACGGGCTGATCTCTAGGTTGCATGATTTTAGGTCATTATTACTTTCATCTTTGACACATTTCTGAATAACCTGCATTTTAAAAATTATCTTTAGCATGAGTTCTTCTAAAAACAGTAGTAAAAATAATACCTAGAACTCTGTAGTTGCCACCCTTCCACCCAAGGGGCCCACCCATCCTCACCTTGCCAACTATGTGATGTCAGACCCCCACTGGACTGCAGATGTGGACTTCATGCCCAGCACTGGGCCTTTACTCACTCCAACACCTCACAACAGCCCCACAAGGAGCAGATGCAATCCCATATCACAGAGCAGGGCCTGGGACTCAGAAGAGGAAAGACTACCCAAGGCCATGCCTTAATAAGTAGGAGTTACTGACTGCGAGGCCGAATTCTCTCCAGCCTGTGAAGAGTAGACTAAATAACAGTAGAAACTAACACAACAGAGTAAAGCAACTATACTCCAATAAACATTAAAAAAGAAAAAAGAGCAGACTAAATAAGCAACATATCTGTTCATTTACAATCTACCTGCAAATCCCAACGATGGGAACAGCTTGCTCGGAACCTTGCACACAGCTCCCACAGCGCCTTTGCAGCCTCACCAACTGAGGCACCCCCTGGACAGCCTCCAAGTCAGCTCCGGGAGCAGGCCAAAAACTGCAAACCCTGCTCTAAAATCCTATCGCCCGCTTTTCCAAGAGCTGCTGAGCTCGCCCTTGGATGCCAGCCCCAGCGTCGCCAGGTCCAGGGCCACCCCAAGTCCCAGGCCCTGCGGAGACAGTGCCTTTTTCTACAGAATGCTTCTTTCCCTGTTAGAACATACCTTATCTTTATTGCTCCAGCAATGAGCATGGCAATTAAGATTCAGAACTGAGGGAAATGCTTTGAATTACCCAATTACCTTTCACCCCAAACATAACAATTTAAAAATTTTTCTTCTAAACTAAAGGTGTTTTCATTCCTTCTCTGATCTTCTCTTAAAATCCAATGTGTATCACGCACTTTGCTAAGTTCTGGGCATACAAAACTACAACAAGGTCCCTAATTCTGAAAACCTTCAGTCGAAGGAACCAGAAACAAACCAGAGAGGGGAGCAGGGAGGGGTCCAGGCTAGAAGCCTGGAGAGGCCCATGATGTTCCACGTCCTTGGGTGGCTTCGTTACAGAGTCTGCAGTACCGTGACATTCCAAAACAGCGAACGTGCCTCTTAGGAGTATAGAAAAACATATTCCAGGGCTGAATGAAAATGACCTTTGGATTATTGACCCAATTTGGCTACTTATACCACCTCTCCCCTCTGCTGGCCTGGACAACCGAGATCTGTATGCTCTCAGAGGAGTGTTTACAGATGAGTCAGCGTTGGAGCTGGCGAGGGGTGGTGGGAAGGACAGTGGACTCAGCGCTGGAGATGAAGGTCGTGTTTTGGTTCCGTCATGGGACCCAGGGAAGTCACTTCACTCCATTTCCTCATCTACGAGGTGGGAACAAACGAGCTTAATTCTCTACCTAAGTTGCAAAGGCTGTGAAAGCAGTGAAAATGCAAAACGTGCTCGCCAATATTCAAACACAGAATAAACAGGTATGGCTGACCTCTGATATAAACTGTTTTCACAGTAAATCTACGTTATTGCCCAAGGGTTCAAATAAGCTCAAAGTGACAACTACCAGGAGACTGAGTTACCACAAGCAATGAGCTGGTGAAACATGCAGACGTGTCCATTACTTTCACACACAGTCTGATTTAGCACCAGTGAACACACACAGAATATGAAAAACCTGATGCAAACTGAATAGATTTCCTGGGATCTAACATTAAAAACAACTGCCAGACAGTTCACCCTCTAAGAAAGTTGACTTAGGGGGACAAACTACTTTGGGAAGATAAGTATAAGTAACAGGAGGGAGTTAAGGGAAATTATTCCATTGAATAGACTGCAGAAACATACAGGAAGGCAAACATGGCCCAAGGGAAAAGCTCCACTGAAATAAAAATGCTGAAAGCGGGCTGTAAAGCTCTTGCTCTGCTCTGAGGGCAACCGCTGAACAACCGAAAAAGAACAAGGAAGACCTTGCCCAATACCAGGGTTAGTGAGGGGCTCTGGGAAAGAACAGTGTGCGGTAATGTGACTCTGGAGAGGAAAAAGGGGCACGACGTCTTGATCTGAGGACCAAATACTCTCAGCCTTGACAAGAGAGGGTTAGTGTCATATTAGAAACACAGGACGCCTCCATCGTGTGGACCAGCAGCCTGAACATCCAATGTCCACGGAGGGTAGATGTGAGTCTCTCAGGGCACCCTGACAGAAACTTGAGTTTTGTTCTTCTTTGTAAATCACAGGGAAACCAAATGTCTGTACCTATTACATCTCCCGAAGCTGAAAGCGATAAAGGACGACCACTTACAGTCAGTTGCAAGATGTATCTCCACTGAGGAATCGCCTTAAGATGGGGTTTCCATGACAGAAGAGGAGGAGGCCGCCCAGCAGATGACTTTCCTGAGGCTCCCACTGTCCCACGGCTGAGAAGACCAGTCATTTCAACAGGGGCAGTGGAAACAAGAACAGAACCCTCCAGGACAACAAGGCAGAATTTCTGGTTAAAACGGTGCATGCACATAGGTAAACAAGCATATCCAAATACCACTAGGAAAAAACCTGAGAGCACATGGTGCCAGCTGCTAGAAAGCTGGCACAGGATGAGAAGGGAACAGCATCTGAGTTTCTAGACAATTTTAGATGTCAGGACACGGTGTTCAGGGCCCACTCTTGAAGATGCTGTTAAAACAAAACCAAGAACAAACCACCGCGAGAGAACATGCATGTTCTAAGAGACCAAACATTTTATCTGGGTGAAGGGTCGATCTCATTCTTGAAACTCAAGAACACAAGAAAACAACAAGAACAATCTCCTTGAATATACTCAACTATCAAAGAATTTTCCTATAGGAAACATGAGAATTTTCCCACTGCTCTAAAGAAGTCCAATAAATAACTTTACAGTGAAGGGCCCGGGGAGAACACACACAGATGCCCACAGGTCCCCGAGCAGCCGCAGAGGAGAGGCGCTCAGAGTGCTGATGCCTTCACCAGGTCGCCCACAGTCTTGTCTTTCTTGAATGTAACCCGCTGGCTGGCATTTCCAACTGCTTTACGGAACAAGTCCATCTGGTAAGCCCGGGGGCGAGTGAGGCCAAAGAGCACAACACAAGAAGTGGTCAAGGTCAAGTCTTCTCCTGAAGACCAGAGAAGGGCTTCAGGCTACAAGTTCTTCAGCAGCGCATCCTCCCAGTGGGTTGAGTCTCCCTCACCGTCACGCGGGGAAGAGCTCGGGAGGGCTCTCTCCGTAGCAGTACTTTGCTATGGGATCCCTATAGGTGTTCTCATGCTGCACGCTCTGTTGGCAAAAGGGAAGAGAAGAGCGCCGTGAGAGAGAGCAGGACGGCGTCCGGCAGACGCTCCCTGCAGGAGCCCGGATGAGTCCATCTCCAAATGTCACCAAAAGGGTCCAGGGCACTTTCTGGAGCAAACGCAGATGCTCAGCACAGAATGCCAATGAAGGGCATGAAAATGGACACAGTGTCACCACAGGACTGTTTCTTTTATGCACACTAGTGAGTTTTTTTTGTAACAACCTAGCTGTGACTAGGATAACTTGAGACAAAAAATTTTCCTCAAAGTATTTTAAGTCAGATTAAGATCCAATGGGTGTTTTGCACCTGACCCCGTGCTTCAAAGGAATTCAGTCCCCGGCACTGAACCCTGCAGAGATGAAGGAGATGCAATTCAAATTGCTTTCGTCAAGTTTTATGTACCTAAGGGCTGGTACACAAGCCAAATCCCACAGTACCACACAAGCTTCATCTGGCCAAGCAAAGTGTGATTTAACACAGACAATCATCCGTGGTGGCTAATTTTTCAGCAATTTGTTTTCATACAAGCAACTTGAGTTTTTGGCTAGTCTAGAATTCATTAATTAGCCTAAAACCAAGGCTAAACATCTAAATTGTACGTATTAATCCAATTTACAGACATGCAGCCAAATCTTCTCTTTCTTGGGACACTTATAAAGGCAAATTGCCAACTGGTAAATTTCTCTTTACAATGAAAATGCAAAGTCTGAAATTTTAGCATCTTCACTCAAGTTTGGAAATAACTCCTGGGTTTTATCAGTTAAAGAAAGAAAATACTTGGCCTTTTCTAACATTTCTCAGAATGACAGTATGAATCTAAGTAAGTCATGGGTTCAGCCATCCTCCACATTTCCTTTAAAGCCCATTCAAATGGAAAGCTCTTCCAGCAAAACAAGGACATCAGGAATTTCCTCATGTTTCAAATGCTCATTATAATCCCTGAAACATTTACCCAGTGATGCTGAATGCTCTAAGAGCAGACCAGAGACATAAAGAGTGGCGTAAAACCCAAAGGCAGACTACAGAAATCTGGCAAAGGGTACAAGAGCTCCAGAGAATGACAAATGAGTCATTCATCTCAGACGGAGCCAGGACAGTCTTGCAGACACCATGAATGGAAGCCAGAGGAAGAGCACCCGTATGGCAAACACGTCTGGTGATTTTACAAAGAGAGCTCCAACAACAGCCAGATCACAAAGGCTGAGAGCAGAGGATGCGGAATGATGGAAAGGCAAAGACGTTCAGACGCTTTCAGCAGCTGGTGCCGTGTTTAGTGCCCAAGAGCAAAGCATTTAATGACAACGTGTTGAAAAGTACTGAGAGCTTGGCAACCTACAGATTTACCTGTGTATTTTTCAACACCCACCTGCCCCATCCCCTTGAATCCTAAAATAAACCACAACTTTGTCCCCGAATAAATGAGTACCCACTCTAAATGAGTGGTTGCTGGAAAGCCTTAAATTTCAAAGACGGAGGAGAGAACTTCTCTCAGGAATTGGACTATCAGGACTCCACCCAGACTTTAAAATAATTTTAAGCTTCCAGTTAAAATACAGACAAGCTAATCAGATAGGGAAGATGCAAGTTAGTCAGACCTTGATTTGATATAAATATTTTACATCCCTAACTTGTATAAATCTCATGTTCACATTCTAAATACAGTCAGCCATCCATACCACGGGTTCCGCATCCGTGGATTCAACCAACCACGGGTCAAAAGTATTTGAAAAGACTCCAAGAAATTCCAAAAAGCAAAACATGGTATTTACACTGTATTAGTTATTGTAAGTAATCTAGAGATGATTTAAAGCATACGGGAGGATTTAAGTAGGTAAGAGGCAAATATTATGCCATTTTATATGAACATTTAGGGATTTGGGGTCCTGGAACCAATCACCCTCGGATACCAAGGGATGATGTACTATCAATCCACCAAAGCTCCACACAACGTCGTTTAAATCTCTTCTCCATTATCACCCCACCAAAAGCCCCCAGTGCATATTTTTGAGTTTTCCTGCAGACCCTGACTCCCACCAGCAAATACCCCAGCTACAGGCATCACAGCTTCTGACCTGGGACGAGGTCCTGCATTTAGCCAAACACAATTCAAAGTGATCTTCGACTGCCATGAAGAGGTTCTGGAATGCCACAGCTGCCCGGTTGAGGAAGCGCTCCAGGAGAAGTTGCTATGGAAACAAAAGTCAGTACCTGTAATAAATTCCAAACTCAGAAGCACAAGGTAACCTTGGAAATTTCTCCTAAACTAACAGACTGCTGATACGGGGAAGAAGAGGGGAAGGAGAGAGAGAGGGGAGCTCAAGTGAGCAGGAGGGCTGATGTTTTATTCTTTAGATATCTGATTAGGAATACAATGGCCCATTCTGCCAAAGAACCACTGGAGGAACTGGGAACCACCTCCTTTCCTTGCAGACAAAGGCTACCTCACAGCAGCCATTTCTGACACCGACAAGGTTCTCTTCTATTTCCAGAAGAATCTCACAAGAAGATTCTAATGCTCCTCGTGAAATGCAGGCAGAAAGAATAAAGGAGATGCAGCACAAGGAGCAACTCTCCATACCTTGTTGGGCTGCAGGCAGCAGGAGACACAGTACTCATAGGCGCTGCAGCAGCCATTGGACAAGCAGCCATCACAGCAGTACTGCTTTGTGCCAGGGACGTTGACGTTACAGCAGCCATTTACCAGCAAATCTTTCCTCTCACAAACGTAACCTGAAAGTCAGAGACTAACCTGAGTATAAACCCAGCAGTCCCCCCACCTGCCCACCAGGGGCGATCATGAGGCAGCAATGAAAGTCCTGCATGCAAAGAACATAAAGATAGAGTCTGGAGTCAGGGGCATCCTAAGGACCACAGAACCTGGAATCAGAGAGTGTCTAATCAGAGCTTGCTTCCTGCATGCAGCAGTTTACAGGAAACATGGACTCCCATCTTGTAAGTAGGCTATATATATCCTAATCTGCCTAAAATTACGTTTTAGTCTGCTGTCACATATTTGATGCAATCAACACATCGCCTATGTTTTCCTGTGCTAACCTATGCAAGCCAATTATTCATCTATGCCTGGGAAAAAATGTCATTATTTTTCAAAGAAAAATCTGAAAAGAGGAAAAAACCAAGGTTTTCACTCCTGAAAGTGAGATCCTTCTAGATTTAAAACAAACAAAAAACCTCCACATATACTTTTTACATTTAAATACCTTTTAAATACTTACCATGTATTTAGTAGTTTGAAGGATTTTTTAAAATAGTAGTCACACCTAACCTTTATAAACTGATTTAGGCTCCTTTTAAGTATACATTGCAGGGATTCAACTACCCCTCAGAATCAGGGAATGAGAGTACTCTAATACCCAAGGAAGAAAAATCCTCCCAATTCCCTCCATTCATCATCTAAACACACCCCCTCCAACCTAGTTCATTCATTCATACTCAACTTTAAGAATCTCCTCACAAAAGCTAGTTTATTGTTCATAGCTGCTAAATACACATTTCTCTATATCCTTCTGGGAGTGGGACAGAAAAATGTAAGAACAAGTCCATTAGGGACACCACGTGGCCCATGGGAAACTCCCAGGTGCAGGCCCAGGCCCACAGGTACACACACGGGCCCACGGGTGCACACAGGTGCAGAGCAGCTGTTCCTCACATCATTCCATTCTAAATGCCCCAGCTTCTTAATCCTCAGAGAATGAGACATCGTGAAGCATGAGGTTGTTTTCAGAAACTACTCTGGAAAAACAAAGCATGAGGTTGTTTTCAGAAATTACACTGGAAAACGAAGTCTGTGCAAAAGCAGGAGGCACCATTAAAATAAGAGTGGAAGGGACCAGAAGGGCCCTCACGTCACACGGGGAAAACTGAGAACCAGATCACTGCTGTTGTGGTTTTAACTATGGCTTCTGTCTTCTAAATTAAGACAGGATGATTCTAATGCCACATTAAATGTTTCTGGGATTCTTCCTAACTATTCTTACTCACTTCCTTCAGAAGGGTTATAAATTAAAAATCTGAATAAGCCAGCATGTTCCTCAAAATTCTACCCCAAATGATACAGAGCATCTTATCACATGATCTGTGTCAGAAAGATGTAAAACATTACACTTGTTGAAATGATCTTTCTGCCCTTTTCTCTTTTCCATGTTATAAGTGTTAGCATCTCAGGCCTTCTGTTTTTCCCCAGTACAAACTACAAGTATTTAGCTTTGAAACCAGGCGGGTCTTTCTAACTCCTGGTGAAAGTCCATCAAGATTTTTCCTTTTGCATCAGAAATGTACTCCTGCAAACATTATTTCCAATGAGGAGTCCTGTGAGATCACAACCTCAGAGTGTGCTGCTACTGACTGGGAAACCAACTTCTAACCTTTGAAAAGTTTGTAACTCTGCTGGTTGTCTTACTGAATAAGGTGTCACCCTGACAACACTCGTGGGGGTGGCATCTGCTTGCTAAAAGGCAAAAATTCCTGCAGGTTTTCTTTATTACACTGCTTATCTCCTCTCCTGCATTCATGGACGTAAAATAAAACCTATGGTTCTTGGATTTTTTTTGATTGGTTCTTGGAACTTAAGAAATCTGAGAGTCTTTGTCTCACTTGAATTAAGCAGAGGGAAATCATTCTTTTGCTAGCTATGACAAAAGAAAAGGACAAACTGTCATTCATAACTAATATTAAATATTAAAGTCAAGTCATAAGATTTCACACTTTCTCACTGAGTACCATACAAACAAAAGCCTGTAAGAAAAAAGCACTGAACTCCAAGTTCAGTCCTGGTCTTAGTCCTAGGTCTGCCCCTGACTGACTAGCTGGGTCATCTTATGGAAGTAACTTTCCTTCGCTAAACTTTACTGTTAAAACAAAGCAAAACAAATGTTACTTGCAATTTAATCTGCTTTTTCAATGTGATCTTAAAAACAGAGCTGGGCACTGTTGAGTCAGCAGTGCATTTTTGTGCAAAATTTTCCAGCTCTTCTAATCTAGGTGGGAGGTTTTCCTGATTCCTTCCTTCAATCCCAAATAATCTCATCTGCTCTGATTCCTTTGAGATCTTTTTGGAAAAGTTTTTTTTTTTTAATTATTTTGCTGGGGTTGCAAACTTTAAATATAGATATATAAAAAGCACTATAGTTCCATTTTGAAGATAGCACGTGTCTTCATTTTGTTAGGCTGCATCAGGTATCGATTCAAGGTTACCTGTATCAATTTCAGTATTGTGACATTCATAACCCATTTGTTCTGAGACTCTCTAAGAGAGAGCCAATTTTACTCTTGCAAACTAACCAGATTATTGTAAACCACCAGGTGAAAAGGGAATAAACAATCTGTAAACCAGTCAGGGAATTCTGACCACTGTTTGGATAGCTGACATTAAGGAAAAGTGGTACTCTCTTGGCGTGATAATGGTATCCCGTTTATGGTTTGTAAAAGAGCCCCTGCCACCTTGGGCAGGTTCCTGAACCGCTTCGTGTCTGTATCTTCAACTACAAAGTGAAGACAGAAACACCTACACCTCACAGGACTGCTACAACAATCAAATGAGATGTTATTCAAGGAGAGCTTTTAGCCCAGTGCCCAGCATGTAGTAAGGGCTAAATTAATGCAGGCAGAGCATTACCAGGAGTCTCTCCTTGGGGGACTGGGCCAGTCTTAGAGTGGTTAGAGCTCTAGCGGCTGTCTAATCCAAACGCCTCGCCAGCACAGGAATCGCCTTTCTTATACACTAAAACTCTGGGAGAAGGCACCAAAACAGACAGGTTGTTTTTTTTAATTGAGGTATCATTGATTTACAATATTACATAAGTTTCAGGTGGCAACTTAGTGATTCATAATTTTTAAGTTATACTCCATTTATAGTTATTATAAAATATTGGCTATATTCCCTGTGCTGTTTGATATACCTCGGTAGCTTATATTTTATACACAGTAGTTTGTACCTCTTAATCCCCAGCCCTATCTTGCCACTGTAAAAAGAATGAAATTTTGCCATTCGCAACAACGTGGATGGATTTGGAGGGTATTACACTTAGTGCAGTAAGTCAGACAGAGGAAGACAAATACTTTGATGTTGTATGATATCACTTATACGTGGAACCTAAAAATAAAACTAGTGAATATAACAAAAAAGAAACAGACTGATGTTTTAATAGTAACAGTAAAACATTTTGGAAGTGTTTATAATTCATTTGAGATTATGCAGTCAACAAGGGCATTCATTCTCTTCCTAAATGCCAACACTATGTGGATACGATTCACGTCAGCAAGAAGGAAAACTTTATCTTGTAGAGTTCACATCAAAATGAGAAAAAAAAGACTGTTAAGATCTGAAAGTACTGGGGCTGGGAAGAGACTGGCAGGAAGTAGTCAAGGGGCTGACGCATGATAAAATGCTAAAACCGTAATTCTAACTCTGGAGAGTGTCTCTTATCAAACCAAGCTTCTCTGACGTTGAGGGGAACCTTGAATGATGAGTCAGATATAAAAGACAAAGACGTGAGAAGTGTTGAAATGGGCAAGAGGGGAAAAGACAGCATATAAAATCCCTATTTAAAAACCTACGAATGGCCCAGGGACTGCAGGAGAGGAAGGGAGCCAGACTAACCAAGTTCATCCGTGATGAGGTGCTTCCCTTGAATGGAGTTCCGGCACTGGTTGCTGGGCCGACTGCTGTTGCCCAAGTTAAACTGCACTTTCCATGGGATGGGCTGATCGTGGTCGTGAACCTGGAGGAGATTCCGATCTCTCACTGCCCTCTCCTCCTACAAAGACACCATAAATGACAAGGTTAAAGTATCACTTCTTGCATTTTCACCAATTTTTTCATAGAAACTACAGTAATAGGAAAGAAACAATATAAAACAGCTTGCACAACAGGAATCTGCACTCCCCTGGTATGAGTAAAGTCTGAGCCAAAGTCATGAAAAAAAATGCAGTGCTTCCCTGGTGGCACAGTGGTTGAGAATCTGCCTGCCAATGCAGGGGACATGAGTTCGAGCCCTGGTCCGGGAAGATCCCATATGCTGCGGAGCAACTAAGCCCATGTGCCACAACTACTGAGCCTGCACTCTAGAGCCTGTGAGCCACAACTACTGAGCCTGCGTGCCACAACTACTGAAGCCCGTGCGCCTAGAGCCCGTGCTCAGCAACAAGAGAAGCCACTGCAATGAGAAGCCCGCGCACCGCAAGGAAGAGTAGCCCCCACTCACCGCAACTAGAGAAAGACTGTGCGCAGCAATGAAGACCCAATGCAGCCAAGAATGAATAAATGTTATTTCTTTTAAAAAATGCAAAATAAACCTGCAGGAAGAAGTAATAAATTAGGGCTATGCTTCAAAACTGGCAGACTTACATAAATGCCCTTGGACTACGTGCATGTTATGAATGTGTACAAAAGCATTAATTTTGTCAAAAAAATTTGGAGGGAAAAAGTTTTGAAATTTTTCTGATGGCAAATCATTTAAAATATTTTTTATATTAAAACAAATACATTGTGGAATAGAATGTAAAATCTGAATACACTTTTAAAATAGAAGAGGAAACTTCAAAGAAACTTTCCAACTGTCATTTCAGACAATACCTGGACAGGTCTGGGCACAATGTTACTTTCATTTGCAGTAAGGAGTTTAGTGGTAAACTAAGGGGAACGCTGAATTGGGAGGTTGATTTCAGGGGAAGAAGAAGCATGTCAACTGTCAAATTTCTTCTATGAAAAAATACTAAGTATGTGACCCTTAGAACATACCTTTCTTTATAAAAGACACCCATGCCAGCCAGCCCTTTACCGAGACATGCAAAGTGAGGAGTTGCTCTAGAGGCAAGAGTTTAGATCTTTTCTCCTAGCCCCCAAGGCACAGTCCGGCTTTCCAAATTGCCTTTGTTATACTCTTAAAGAAACTAAGTAAGGTGCCTGAGTGCCAAAAAAACAAGCCATGCAAGAAAGAGCCATCTTCTCAGAGGATTCTTCAACCTATCTATCACTGGAAAACAAAACAATGATAAGACTCCCTCCAAGAGGATTTTTATACATAATAGTTTAACCATTCTACCATTTTAATAGAGTTCTGTGGCTTTTGCCATTAAGAATGATCTGTCATGTGTCACTGTTTGAGAAAAAGGGACTAACCTTGAAAGTTGATAGCAAAGGTTATACTTTAAGACAATGGGAAAGAGCTATACACTTACTAAGATATCTCTAGGAAAGCTATGTGGGAAGAGCTATTAATATTTAAGACATGCAAATCCACATCTACTTTGGCACAGCAAACACATGTTTGAGGCCTAGCCTCTGGAAAGTACAGACGTGTAAGGGTGCACTAGGATGTCTACTACAGCACCGTTTATGTGGTGGAAAAAACCTGGAACCCCAACCACAGAGAAATGAGTGAATAAACACTGGATAGCCATAGCTATTACCTAAAAATTACGTATGACTTATGTGTATTTATCTAGAGCAGGAGTCCTTAAACCTGACTTGCACATCAGATTATTAAGGACTTCAAATTCTGATTCCTGAGCCCAACTCCAGACTGAGTAAAAAGCTCTGTGGATGGGACCTGGGAATCAATATTTTTAAAGCACTCGATAATTTTAATACAGAGGGCTGCAGATCCCTGGTGGATGTCCATAGTATATTAAGGAAAAAAACAAGTTACAAAATAATGTGCATATTATCACACATTGTATTATGATAACTGTATTAATACATACATATGGGTTTATAAGAGCTGAGATAAATGCATGCAAAGATACTACAAACCATTAACATGGAAAGGACATAGGTGATTATTAACATTTTTCATCATCGTTGGAATAGTTTCATTTTTAATTTAAAATAAAATGATAAAAAATTATTAAAAACATGATGATCATTAACAACAGGAGACACTAAATGAGGAATCTACAGGAACTCTGTACTATCCTTGAAACTTTTCTGTAAATCCATAATTACTCCAAAATTAAAAGTTTATTTAAAAAAAAATGACTGCCAACATAAAAGACATAAATTGCCCACAATCCCATCACTTGAATAAAGCTGTATCTATTTCTGCATATTAACTTCTAGCCTTTGACCCCAGCATTTATACTACAAATTAGTATGCTTCACATTCAGCTCCTCTTGACACTAATTGGATGGTAAACGGTTCAAGTACCTACATTATCTTGATAATCACATTTTCAAGGCTATATAATAATCCATCACCTTGATGTGCTGTAATTTAGTAAAAACATCCTCTACAGATCAACGTTTAAGCCCACCCCAGGTGTCTGTTATCATAAATAGCACTGCAATAAAAATGTAGACCTTTTGCTTATTCTCTTGAGTAATTTGTGGTAGGAATTATTATTAGTAGAGTCAATGCTAAATAGTGCCAAATATTGATAATTTCCCAAAAGCTATATATGCCATTTGTAACATTACCAGAATTTAAATAACAGTGTGCCACTCCACTATTGAATTTTGTTCCTTAATTTACTAAAGGTAAAACAGTCCTTCAAGGTGGCTTTCATTTCTATTCTGCCCCCTCTCTTTTGTTTCTTTTATAGGAAAGAACTGGCACTAGCAGGAACAGGATGGGTTATATCAATACAAAAACAACATCGGTATTCCTTGGTTGGGGCAAGAAAAGGACTTAAATGCATAAGTCTTGAGAATATGGGAAAAATCACTTAGGTGCACAATGCTTAACCACCTGTAAATTCATGAGTTCTGCTGGGACCGTGTCAATTAACGGCATAATCAAGCTATGTGCAAACTAAAGTGCACTTGAAATGCTACCCTAGATAAATTAACAGCCATAAAGACTTAAGAAGCTGGTCAAAGTACAGTAAACTGGATCTCACAACAAGGTTGAAAGTGCTCTTGACATCACTCTCAAACTTTCCTGTTATTCCTTCTGAAAGAAAATGAAGAGTTCACGGACAAGGGCATCCCAGAAGGACCTCTTTCACATTACTGTGTTCCTGGTAAATAGGATGGCAATTCTCCCAGCACTTGTACTTGTTTTCAAACATGAATATTTAAGACCTTTCCAAAAGAACTGGTAAGAGTTGTACAACCAGAAAAGACCGTACAAGAGATTGTGTAAGACATAATGGCAAATGTAATGAATTAGCACATGGTCGCTTTCCTGAAGGTCCAGTCTTGCAAGGGTGTGGTGAAGGGGCACCGAGGGAATTCCTTCATTGGACAGGTGGCTTTAAACCTTTCTGAAACTACCCTACTAGGCTGTCTCAATTTTGAGCACCACCCCCCGTGTGTATGTGTATGTGTGTGTGTGTGTGTGTGTGTGTGTGTGCGTGTGTGTGTATTTTTTAATTCAAGATTCATTCAAAGGTATCAAGTTCTTACAATGTGTTAAAGATACAGAGACAAAGAGAGGCAGGTTCTCTATTCTCAAAGAGCCTCCAGGGCCTTCCCTGGTGGTGCAGTGGTTAAGAATCCACCTGCCAATGCAGGAGACACAGGTTCGAGCCCTGGTCCGGGAAGATCCCACATGCTAGTGGAGCAACTAAGCCCATGTGCCACAACTACTGAGCCTGCACTCTAGAGTCCGCAAGCCACAACTACTAAGCCTGCATGCCACAACTACTTAAGTCCATGCGCCTAGAGCCCGTGCTCTGCAGCAAAAGAAGTCACCACGCTGAGAAGCCGGCGCACCACAACAAAGAGTAGACCCCACTCACGGCAACTAGAGGAAGCCCACACGCAGCAACTAAGATCCAATGCAGCCATAAATAAATAAATAAATTTATTTTTTTTAAAAAAAAGGAGCCTCCAGAATTTTCTTCATAAACTACAAGGCGCTAGAGAAATGTTTTTATTACTAATGTATATTACTTAACCTCTGATTTAAAAAGGGGTATTTTAATAACTGTCCTGTCTCTTTTTCGGGGGTTATCATTAGGGTCAAATGAGATGTGTCCCATGTAAGCAGTAAAGCACTTAAACATAAGGCACTGTCATTAAAAGAATCGCTTATGATTCTCAAAAGTAAAAGAAAAAAGGGGATAAAGGCCAGAGGGAATCCCAATGTCTAATATTTGGGGAATAGCTAATAAATATAGCCTGATCATGGAAATTTTTAGTTATAAAAACTTACACCTCGAAAGAGCTTTTAAAGATGGGGAAAATGCATATATGTTAAGTGAAGAAACAGTAGGCCCTAATTATATTTTTAAAATATGAAGAAAGAAAATATGCCCAAATATCATCAGTAAATCCCTCTGTTTGGTGAGATTAAAGATAATTGCTTTCCTCCTCTACCCTGTGCAGCACTTTACAGACTCTGAAAGGTATATGTACCTTGTTGATACGGTGAAAAACAGAGCAGAAAAACAGATTAGCAACTCTCTCTTATGATTTATTATACTTTATATAGTGTCTAACTTGAAACCAATTTACATACTTAATTACGTTAAAGCTAAAGATGTTTATATATTTTCAAGGAGTTATGCAAATAGCCCTGACACTTTCTGGAACTGCACCACTTGAACAACTATGAGAACAGTTATTTACATGAGAGGACCTCTAAGGACCCTTCTGACTCCAAGACGGATTTCTCTATTCTCAGCTCAAATGCCCCACAGAGTTAGGCCCACCTTGCCGCTCTATCACAGTACCTTGTTTTGTATTCTTTGTATCACAAATTATTATCTGAAATAATTCTGCTCATTTGCCATTTCTACCCCTCACCCCCTACAGAATATAGGCTCTGGGAGAGTAAGACTGTATCTGCTTTGCCTCCCACTGTATCTCCATCATCTAGCAGACAGTGCCTGGTGCAGCTGGTGTTCACTAAACATTTGTTAAATCAATGTGCCCAAGTCACCTAGCACCCAGTCCTCACCCCCAATGGCATCCCCACCAAGGTCACTAATTTCTCCTGTGCTCCCATCCCTACAATTTAAGCTATCCCCCAAAGCATTAATTAACATGAAAATCAAAACAGGAATTCAAAGCTGTAGAGAATAATCAACTATTCTCTAGGCAAAAAGTGGCCACATCTGCTCCATGAGTTCACAGTCTCACTGAAGCAGAGCTAAGGATCATATGAAAAACTCCAAAGCTTTCGAGTTTTTCACAGCCTCTTCTCAATTAATTCTAACCACACCCACCCCGTCTTCCCGTCCAATAGACAGACAGCTGTGCTACAGCACAGCTCCTTACAGATGGAGCCTGAGGCTAGGCAAAATGGAGCAGACTCCCTCAAGCCACAGCTCAGGAGTGCTGGAAGACCGCAACTGCAGCAGAGAATAGAGCAGAGTTGCAGCAAACTCACAGGCACGCAGGAGGGGCATCAGTCAGAATAGGCTCCAAGGATCCTTTCCAGTTTTAAAAATTATTGAGGACTTCAGTATGTGAGTTAATGAGGGTTATGGCTAATGATATTTATCATACTGGAAATTAAAACCAATTCTTAAAACATTTAAATAAGTTATTTATTCGTTTAAAAATAACAATAATGAGGTCTTCCCTGGTGGCCCAGTGGTTGAGAGTCCGCCTGCCGATGAAGGGGACACGGGTTCCTGCCCCGGCCCGGGAAGATCCCACATGCCGCGGAGCGGCTGGGCCCGTGAGCCATGGCCGCTGAGCCTGCGCGTCCAGAGCCTGTGCTCCGCAACGGGAGAGGCCACAACAGTGAGAGGCCCGCATACCGCAAAAAATAATAATAATAAATAACAATAATGAGCCCATTACATGTCAACAGTTTTTCATGTGTGTGGGGGGAAAAATTTTTTCAAAACAAAAAAATATACTTGGTGAGATGAGAAAATATCTTTACATTTCTGCAAATGTTTTTAATGTCTGGCTTGACGGAAAACAGCTGGATTCTCACAACTGCCTCTAAATCCAATTTATTGCAATACCTTGTTCAGGTTGAAGCTTATGAAGAAAATCTACCTCACACAAATGTGCAGTTGGAAATAGGAGTATTTTCGTGGCTCTTCCAGATAATTATGGATAATCTTCTTTGATACTACTTCAAAACTTGATAAGTATAGTTTCTTAAAAGTTCACTGCAAATGGTGCAGCCACTTTGGAAAACAACCTGGCAGTTCTTCAAAAAGTTAAACACAGTTACCAAGTGACCCATCAATTCCACTCCTAGGACCATACTCAAGAGAACTGAAAACATATTTCCAAACAAAACCTTGTACACCAATGTCCATGGCAGCCCTAGTCATAATAGCCAAAAGGCAGATACAAGGCAAGTCTCCATCAAATGATGATGGCTAAACAAAATGTGTTAGATGCCTACAACGGCACGTTACTCAGACATAAAAATGAAGTACTAATACATGCTACAACGTGGATGAGACTTGAAGACTGGCTTTTAACTGAAAGAAGACAAAGAAGACCACATAGTGTATGTTTCCATTTATATGAAATGTCCAGAATACGTAAATCCATGGAGACAGAAAGTTGACTAGTGGTTGCCAGGGGCTTGATGGGCAGGGATAGAGAGGTTATAGCTAACGCGTTTCTTAGGCAGTGGGGGAATCAGATCCAGAAAAATCTGCAAAACAAAACTGTTGCTGAAAGTTTCAGGGGATTCACGATCACCCCCCACACACACACATACACACACCCCTAGGACTGTAGTCACAGATCACAAGTTTAAAAAAAAAAAAAGACACACAGGGAAAAATAAAATAAGAACAAGGTACACCAGAGTACTTAAAAGGCATTTGTAGGAGGAATTCCCTGGTGGTCCAGTGGTTAGGACTCTGCACTTTCACTGCTGAGGGTCCGGGTTCAATCCCTGGTCAGGGAACTAAGACCCCACAAGCCCCGCGGTGCAGCAAAAAAAAAAAAAGTGGTTGTAGGGAAAGTCACAGTGTAGACAGCATCTGAGTCAGGCAGGAAAAATTAGTAGGACTGTGCCAAGCTGGGAAGAAAGGAAAAGTCACCCCAATTAAAAAGATGTGATTGTTTGTTCAACCAATATTTGAATACCCACGAAGTGCCTGGCAGTATTCTAGGGACTGAGATTCTACGAACAACACAGACAAGGTCCCTGGTCTCCAAAAAATTACGTTCTAGAAGGGAGAGTGAGGGGAGACAGATAAACAAGTAAATGATCCAGAAATGCTCAGTAAGTGATGCTTACCGCAGAGAAAATAAAGCAGGACTATGGGCAAGGAACTGAAATCACTGAGATTGTGTCACCTGCTGTGACCTGGAGCAGTAATAGTTAGCCTCACCTGAACTGACAAAAAAAAAAAAAAAACACTCACAATGCAGAGATCCTGGAACGGACGTCTGGAGTTTTAGCTGAGTGCAACAGGAACCCAAAGAAGAACTATACACAAGGGAGTGCTGGGATTTTTTTTTTTTTCTTTTCAGATTATCACTCCTCCTGCTGGTTAGAGAATAGACTGCAGAATAAGAAAGGAAGCAGGGCTTCTCTGGTGGCGCAGTGGTTGAGAGTCCGCCTGACGATGCAGGGGACGCGGGTTCATGCCCCGGTCCGGGAAGATCCCACATGCTGCGGAGCGGCTGGGCCCGTGAGCCATGGCCGCTGAGCCTGCACGTCCGGAGCCTGTGCTCCGCAGCGGGAGAGGCCACAACGGGGAGAGGCCCGCGTACCGCAAAAAAAAAAAAAAAAAAGCAAGGAAGCAGAGACCTGTTGGTGGGCTACTACAGCAGTCCAGACAGGGAAAAGCAGAAGGTATCTGTGGCTGGGGAATGGTAGTGCCACTCAGTGAGGCTGGGAAGACTGGAGAGGAAGTGGTGGTGGAGAATCAGGAGTTCTGTTTTGGCCAAGTATGAGGAGCCGACAACGCATGCAAAAGGGGACGTCAAGCAAGCAACAGGATATAAGAACCTTGGGGTTTCTGGATAGGTCAAGGCTGGAGTTAGAAACAGCAACAGCATACAGCTGGTATTTAAACCAATGGTGCTAGAGATGAGCTGGGTCAGCTGGGAGGAAGGTAGAGGGCTGAGTCCGGGGTCACTACAGCACCACCTGACAGGGAAGGAACAACACGTGGCCATGAGCAGGTGTCTGCGAAGTTGTGAAAACACAAGTGCAAGCACTTAGTCTGCATGAATGTCACCGACGCATCCCAGTCACCAGAAGAGGCTTACAACACTCAGCCTCTCTGTTAGCCTGAGGTGAGAGGTGGGCTACGGTCCCCTAACTTTCCGTTTTACAATCTCCTAAAAATAAGGTGACCATATCACTTAGTATTTCTCTTCTACTCATTGATAAATTTTATACGAATATGACCCTTGAGAATGAAAAGGGGAGCTTTTCTAACTGCATCAGCGCAAGAGCATAAACCAGGGTTGTCCCGGGTACACCCTGGCATATGCTCACCCTTTCTAAAAACCTGAACTGGACTTCTAAACGAAGAGACAATGCTCTGGGTAACATTTCCCACCAAAGCATCCTACCTTTTCTCCCACAAATTCGCACAGAGAAGAAAAACTAAGCGGATGGGGAGGTGAAAGGAAAATTCCACCCAACCACGTTATGCACAGAAAGAGCACCTCGTGGGTCCTGAGGCGTCTCCCTGCCGGACAACCGAGCCCCTAAATTAAATGAAAACCAGGCACACCAGCGCTGGCTTCGTAGCTCAGCTGGGCATCTTACTGGCCCAGGCATCTCCACCTTTTCCAGTCTCGAGTTACCCTGCTGGAACCCGGGGACACCGCCCCCCAGAACGGCCGCGAGGAGAAGGGAGAAATGCTCGCCCCCGCTCAGCACTCGGCCTGGCAGGTAGGAGGCAAGGAGACGGCCCTCAGAGTGATAACAAGCACAGCGTAAGGGCCCACAGCACCGGGTTCGAGTCCCAGCTCTGCCCCTGGCCTACCAACGAAATGGGCGGGTCCCTTCGCCCGTCCTCAGCCCCGGGACACGAACGCCCACCTCTCCGGAGGCGGCCCGGCGCACCGGACACTCGGGCAGCGCGGCTGCAGAGGCAGCTTCCCTCACCCGGGGAGGGAGGGCGGCCACTGACCTGCTTGAAGGTGCTGGTGAGGAAGTAGACGAGCGAGAGCCCGAAGACCAGGGCGAGCACCCACCTCTTCCGCAGGAGCCGCCGCCACACCATGGCCGCCAGGTTCACCATCCCGGCGCGGAGCGGGACAGGCCCGGGGCCCGGGCGGCATGGCCCCTACGCGGCCGGCAGCCCCATGGCTCGCGGCGGGCGCCGGCCCCGCGGCCCTCAGCCCAGCCAGCTCCCGTCAGCCACCCCGCGCCTCCTCACGTGACCTCGCCCCACACACCGCCTGCACACCTCGCGCGTCACCCGCCGGCCTCGCTCGGCCTCCTCCTCATTGGTCCCTGCATAGCGGCGGCTTCCTATTGGCTGAATTCCGGGAAGGGGGCGGGCAATCGTGTGCGTGCGGCCGGTGGAGTTGTTGCCCGGGTCTCAGCGCTGGGCGCCGCGACCTGAGAAAGAACCTGGGGAGAGGCCGGAAGCACTCGGAAGTCAGGTGCTAACCGGGCCGAGCGAGTGATTGGCTTGGAAGCACGAGAATGATGCCGCTGAGATTGCCGAATCGTCTGGGCAGGTAAAAAGATAACGTTATTTTTTTTCCCCCCGGTATGGTCAGCGTAATCTCCTGCCCTTTCAGTCCTGGGGCGTTTCGCGGTAAACTTTGGTTGCAGGAATGAAAAACGCTTGCAGCATTGTATACGGAGCGCACCTGCCTGCTTCCAGTGCAAGTGATGCAGGAGATGCTCTCTTGCGTGCATTTCGGTGCAGTCATATAACAGCTCGGGGGTGCAACTTAAAACCTCTCATACATTGAAAACTCTGGTGAAATCCTCCTTAGGGATGGAGAGCGATGTATGGAGCAGAGGGTAAAAAGGCATTTCATTCAGTCATTCAGATGCATCCCACGTGCAAACGTTTTATTACAGAATTCGATATTGGAATAATTATGTACGGCCTACTGCCAACACAGGACCTGAAGCCCCTTCGAAAGCAAGCATCTGAAAGTGAAATCTTGGGTATTTTATTTAGGGGGCTGTGTCAAATTTATGGATGGAAACTTGAGATTCTGTATTTTATTTTCCCCGAGGATTTGCAGGCGATGAGGAATCATTGCGGGGAGAGGGGGCATTAAGGCGAGATTGCAGGTTCTTGAAACAGATTTAGGGGATGAGCTTTCCTTCATATATGAAGATGGTGCTACTGACCCATCTTTTGGCTGATTTTCCAAATGAGAAAGGAGGCTTAGCTGGGGGGTTGTCTCGCTAATCAGTGGCCCTGGTAACACCAGTGCTGTCCCCTGAAGAAGGCTGGTCAGGATCAGGAAGTCACTCAACAACTCGTATGGCACCCTGAACTAAGAGCGCCATCTTTGGTCCTGGTACAAAAACAAATATTCAAGGAAGCTAAACCAACTCATGAAAAGTCTCTGGCCTTTATTTCTTCTCTAGAGTGAGAGGTCAGGGAGGGAACAAGGGACGTAGAAAAAGGTAAGTGAGAGACCCATTGATGTTTTCCTCATTGAGTAAATACTTGTTGAGTGCTACTCTGTGCCAGGCAGCGTTCTAGATGTGGAAGCAGAAGGGCAAACCAGGCAGGCCGATCGTGTCTTTTGTGGCATTCGCATTCTAATGGAGGACAGGCCATAAATGAATATGCAAACATGTAAATAAATGATAAGTGCTATGAAGAAGGTAAAACGGGGCAATGTTTGTTGGGTCAGGAGGGTGAGAGGAGAAGGTGTCTGGAAGGAGGTGACATTTGTCCTGAGGGAGCTAGCCAGAAGGAAAAGCATTCTAGGGAGAGGGAACAGCAAGTATAAAGGCCCGGAGGCAGGGACAAGCTGGCACGTTTGAAAAACGAAAAGGCCAGTGTGGTTGGAGGAGAGTGGAGGCAAATGAGGTTGGGAACAGGTGAGGCCTGCAGGCCAGGAACAGAGCTTGAATTTTATTCTGATTGCAGTGGGTAGCCTGCGGAGGGCCTTAAACATATTTTCTGTATTCCCCAATCACGACTCAGAGTTTGACAATAGGACAAGATATTAATACATTCAGATCATAACGGTCCTCAGGAGTCCCAACAAGGTATCAATGGAAGGCTAACAAGGGACAAGGAGGCAACAGAACCATCTGCTTGTAACTACCCATGAAGCCCTAAGACTTATTCTCAGGTTCAAGGCATCCCATGGACTATTCACTTAAGTGTTCTATTCCATCCAGGGTTTGGAGCCTCTGATAAGCTCCTGTGACCCGTGCATGCCTTTGGAGAGGAAGAAGAGGGAGAGGCCTGCTTTCTCTGGAATCCAGTGGTCACATCCCCACCTGAATGCCCACCTCAGGTGTCGTCAACATGGAGTTCTGAAGTCCCTGTGGTTCCTCACAGTGAACCAGGTGACGTGTCTCCATGAGAATTCAGATCTTCATTACCACTGTATTAAATGTGAGGGCTGGAAGGAAGCTTTGGGTTCGGACACTTCACCCCTCTCCCATTTAACCTATGGGGAGTCTGAGGCCACAGAGAGGTTACCAATTTGTCCAGGGTCACACAGCAAATTAGGGGTGGCATCAGTCCAGGATCCATGTTTCCTAACTGTCTGCTGCTCACTTGACCTCCTCCAGCACCTCTTTGCTTTACAGTTCACTTCTTTCTCCTCTGACATGAGAACTTCCTCCACCTCCGGTCTCATCCTTCTCATCCATGAAATGGGCTGATGACACTTTCTTCATGGGACAGGGTGTTGATTTGAGGGTTGAATGGCATAACAGACTGAAACACAGTTTGCAAAATGTCAGAGAGCTCTAGGGAAGTAAGATACAAGTAGTACTTGTTTATGGTTACCATGGTGATCTGACAGGCACTGAGAATATTGGGAGACTCTGGCTCATGCATGTGTTGACTTTTAGGTCTTAAGGAAAATGCAGAGACGCCACAGCAGCAACACGGATAACGTTCCACCTGAAAGGTAGGCATCCCCTCATTCCATCTGAGGCTCTGAGCTTCAGGTGGTCAAGGGCAACCCAAAACTGGATGGAGTAATACCTGCCCCTCAGGGCTACTCGTTAGAAGAGCAGAGGAGATCTGATTGGACACTGCTTTGCATGGCAATGGCCTCATATCCTCAACACGTGACAGCTTGCTGTTGCTCTTATGGTAATTCTCAAAGCCTGTGCAAACAGTGATCCACTTGACTCATTGTATCAATGATTATACCCAGGGGATTTTAATTTATAGAGGTGTCTGAGTTGCAACATGGAGAGGCGGATGACATTGAAAGAAGATTTTTATTACTTGCAGTTTCCAAGATAAGGGGGCATGTCACCCTACGCAGGGCCACATGGGGAAGCACCGGGGTCAGCCAGGAGGCAGAAAGGAGCAAGGGAAAGCATAGGTCACAGCTTTTATTGTGTTTTCCACACAGAGTAAGGCAGGGGAGGGGAAACAACTTAGGATTGACTAGTTTGAATAATGTTGGTGGACTCTAGGCTGTAGGAGTGGTCTCTAGTTGTCTGTACCTGGCCCTGAGTGATTTGGGGCAGAGGAAATATTGGCTGAGAATGGGAATTAGATAAAGGAGGTGGTTAGGGATGTGAGCTCTGGAGGTGGTTAGGGATGTGAGCTCTGGAGGTGGTTAGGGATGTGAGCTCTGGAGGTGGTTAGGGGTGTGAGCTCTGGAGGTGGTTAGGGGTGTGAGCTCTGGAGGTGGTTAGGGGTGTGAGCTCTGGAGGTGGTTAGGGGTGTGAGCTCTGGAGGTGGTTAGGGGTGTGAGCTCTGGAGGTGGTTAGGGGTG